AACCAACCACACAATTCCTATTCTCAAATCCAAACCTGGTGTAACAGCAAAATTGTCCAACTCCTGTAACAGCAAAATTGTCCAAATCGTGCCACAACAAAATTGTCCAAATCGTGTAACAGCAAAATTGTCCAAATCGTGCAATAGCAAAATTGTCCAAATCGTGTAACAGCAAAATTGTCCAAATCGTGCAACAGCAAAATTGTCCAAATCGTGTAATAGCAAAATTGTCCAAATCGTGTAACAGCAAAATTGTCCAAATCGTGCAACAGCAAAATTGTAGAATTGTTAGATTCAGCTTTGAACCGTTGTATCTTAGAAATGGTTAAACATATCTTACTGGCATTCTCCAAGGATTTTATAAAACTATTATACTCTACTTTAAACAATAAGAACGTATTTAGCTCTAAGTTGAAATGATGATCCTTCTTGCTGTTGTAGCCTCCTGATCCAGTTTTCCTCTCTATTTTCCCCCCTTTTAAAAATTTTTCACCGTTCTCTTGACGGTTCTTGAATGGACCTTGAAGATGGAACCCAGAGTATGAATGGTGGTACCATTACTGATAGGCTGAATGATCTTTTTCCTCTCACCACTGCTTTGTTGGGAAGACATAGTGGGGCTATCACAAAACGATTTTAACCGCTTATTTTTCTAGCTGAATAACTCAAAGTTTTTTTTTCAGATATTCTTACGACAAATAGTGTCAAGATGGCTAAACATCTTATCTGTAAACCTGGAAAGATATTCAATTAGTGTAGAGTTTTTTTTTTAGATATTATGTGAAATGAGCAATTATCCCATGCTGTTATACGATTCGGCCAATTTTGTTGTTACACAATATATTATATTTATATATATCGAATAACAATATATAAATTTTTATGTCAAGAACAATTTTAGGGGAAAGTGGAAAAAGACCGATATACATGTATATGGATCATACATCCCGTACGGTCGATTTTCTTCTATGGTACCTAGATTTTATGAATTTAAGCGCAGAACTAGTCTGGCGGGTAGATCTCATCATTGTACAGTTGTAATGGCTAGCTGTAACCGTAAATTCTATGCTAACAGTTTCTTCGATCGCAATTCTTACTTGTGGAACTCACTTCCAGCTTCTTCCTTTCCTTTGATCTTCGAAAAAGTTAAATTCCATTACAATCTTAATCTTCTATCTTCTTAATTATTGTTCTTTTATTTTTCTCTTTCCTTCATAATGTTATTCTTTTTCATATATTGAGTAAACCGCCTATGTCTTAGTGTTTTTATTGCCTGGCTTGAAGTGATTTTTGTTTGTTTTGTTTTACGGCATATCAACCTCAATGAGACAATGCTGACAAGATTTTTATTACTGGTAATAATTTTTTCCGAAAATGTATTGTTGGTAATATTTTTTTTCAAAAATGCATTGCTGGTAATTTTTTTTCAAAAATGTATTGCTGGTAATATATTTTTCTTTTTCAAAAATGTATTGCTGGTAATAATTTTTCGAAAAAGGTATTGCTGGTACTAAAATTATTTCTATACTTTCATAGTGCTTAGACTCCTTTAGGGGAGGGGTGGATAATTATTTTCCCACAGCGAGGATCCTAACAGATGCTACCACCCCGGGTAAGGGTAGACCTAGGAACACCAGCAATTAAGAGGTGGTTCCATGCTCCTCAAACCCCCCTCCTAATCAAAGACCTTGCAGTCGGATGTAGGTTATCATCCCAACCAGGAGGCAGATGTAGTTTATCGTCTTACCCAGGACGTAGCTTGAAGTGAAATGGTTAACATATAGAGATGCCTGCGCGTGCGTGTGCCTGTAACAAATATTAAATGCTTTTCCAAGTTGTATAAATCGACCTCGATAAATATCGTCCCGAGCTAGGACTCCTTCACTGAAACAACTCTATGGTGTTCATAATTATTTAAAGGATGCCCGAGCATGTCAGATAAAGATTGGGTATTTCCGATAACATAGTGGTACAGTAGCGCCACCTACCATTAGCAATATATAATACCATCCTTTGACATATGAAACGTCACTATATATATAAATATATATATATATAGCCAACAGATAAACATCATATGTTCAGACGAATATAGAAAATTAAAAACAAAAAACAAATTACACCAAAGTTATCAGTGAAAATAAGGAAAGAAATATCAGCCTCCAACGAAAACGTAAAAACAAAAGTAGAAAATATTATTTAAATTCATGCACAAACGCTCCCCCCACATCAAGCATTCTCCACAAATTATTCAACAGAGGTACTATAAAAATCAGCTACAAATGCACGGAGAATATGAAACAATAATAAAAAAGCACATCAGAAATATTACCAAAAATCTACCCACACAAATCAAATCAACGTATAAATGTAGGGCAAAAAATGAATGTCCCTTAAGTAGCAACTGCTTACAGAACAATCTAATATATCAAGCCACTGTAATATCGGCAGATAATGAAGAAAATATATATCAATAACTGGAAATAGAGAAACTACGCTT